CCTTTTGTGCATTTCTATTCTAAAAATACCAATACCTAAATAAATATTAACTTCTTTTTATCCCAGTCCACCCCCACTTTTTATAAAATTGCAAAATATTGGACAGAAACTATGAAATTGCATATTGATATAAAAAGATGCATTTCCCCATCTCTTCACAACACTCTTAAAACACTAATTTAGTAAAACACTGTTTTTTTTAAAAAGCTTAATGTTTCTGCCACATCAATTAAGTATTTATTAAGTTGCCAGGTGCTATGCATTCCAGGAATACAAGTGCAAAGGATAAAACAATCCCTACATGAAAGGCACATTCTAATGGGGAAGGCACTAAGTATGTATATATATATGTATGTGTGTGTGTATGTGTATATATCTATATCTCTATAGATATATACACATACATGTTTAAAATATAAACACAAATGCATAAAAGTAGTTGAATACAAGGTAGTTCAGGAAGGAGGGTACTAAGAAGAGTGGGATCAGGAAGGATTCCATGCAGTAGATGGTGCTTGGATTACGACTTTAAGGAAGAGGCTGACTGTGTTAGGCAGAGGTAAAGAGTGAGTGTATTACTAATGTGAAAATATGTTTAATAGGAATGTATATGTGTAACCTATATCAGATTGCATGCTGTCTTAGGGAGGGAGGTGAGAAGGGAGGGGGAAAAAATTTAAAACTCAAAAACTTATGGAAGTGATTGTTGATAATTCAAAATAAATTAATTAAAAAAAAGAAGAGTGAGTGTATTAACAGGCATGTGGACTAGCCAGTTCCACAAAGGTTTGGAGACAGGAGATGGAATGCTTTATATGAAGAACAGAGAGAAAACCAATCTGCCTGAATTGCAGGGTGCAGGAGAGTAATGTCCAGTGAGACTGGAGAGATGGATTGGGGCCAGGTTGCGTAGAGCTTTAAAAGCTACATTTTTGTGGTTCAGTTGTTTCCCCTCTTTGGGGCCCCATTTGGGGTTTTCTTGGCAAAGATACCAAAGTGGTTTGCCACTTCCTTCTCCAGCTCATTTTACAGATGAGGAAACTGAGGAAAACAGGACTAGGATCAAATAACTAGTAAGTATGTGAGGCCAGATGAAGCTTCCTGCCTCCAGGCCTGGCACTCTATCCACTGTGCCACCTAGCTGCCCAGAAGCTAAAAAGAGGAGTTTATTGTCCTAGAGGCAATAATGACCAAATTTTAGAACTGGAAGAGAATGTATTGGCTATCTAGTACAAATTCTGCATTTTACAGAAGAGGAAACAGATCCCATAAGGCTAAATGTCTTATAAAAAGTCATACAGACAATTAATGTCAGAACTCAAACTTCGATTTCTTTGAATTTTTTCTTTCAAACTTTTCTTTGGTGCTTCTGATATGGTAAACAAAAAACTAGCGGTCTTTGTAACAAAAATGGGGACATTTGGCTTGGGGAAGAGTGCACTGACTGCCATGGGTTATGTTATGTGGGCCATTGAATGTGGGCTATGTGGGCTACTAAATAAAAAGTGAGATTAATAAATAGTGACAAAAAATCAGTACTCAGTAATCATCAAAACTATTTGGTAGTAATTAAAAATAGGAAAGCGGAGCAGACTAGATAAACAAGTTTCTGAAACAGTCAAACTCAATAACGTATTATTCATTAAAAAAAAGAATTTCCTTTTTGACAAGAACTGATGGAAAACAATTTAGCCAATAGTAAATCTACTCAAACATCTTGCACCACATACTACAATAAGCTCAAAATGCATACACAGTTTGAATGTTAAAGGTCACACATACAATAGTAGAAAATTATAAGAGGTACTTTTCATACTATGTCTAAGGGCAATAAATCATTTCAATCACATGAAAATTAAGAGCCTTTGCTTGAAGAAAATCAATGAAATACAGGTATGAAAAGAAACCATTAACTGGGAATAAATCCTTGCAGCAAATATTAAAAATATATAGAAATCTAACAAAAATAATGAATGAATATAGATGAATTATAGTATTTGCTAGTTGGGTACTATGTTTAAAGCCATGTGCTAATTAAGCACTGGGGATACTAATGGAAAAGTAAACTAGTCTCTGCTCCTGGAACTTACTTTCTAATGGAGCAGACAATGCATATAGATAAACACCAACAAGAGAGATTCCCCAACAGAGAAGTGATCAAAGGACATAAACAGTTCACAATAGGAGAATGGCAAAGTATTATAGCCATATGAAATATTGCTCCAGATCACTAGTAATAAGAGAAGTGAACATCAAAGTAGGCCTGTAGTTCATTTCACAGCCGGAAAATTTACCTTCCTCTATTCCTTGCAGAGTGGGGACTGGGGATGTGATACACCACATGCTATCATACTCAGGTTATGTTGTGCTGCTTAGTTTTGCTGAAAATCTTGTTCACCCTCTCTCTTTTTTAATCTTTCATACAAGGGTAGGTTATGGATAGATTAAAATGAATGTGATATATAAGCAAAGGATTTAAATGAAAGTAAAATAATATTTTTAAAATCGAGTTCAATTTACACAAAAATATTCTACATGTAGACCCATTGCTGCATTTGTTATTGTGATTTCTACCGACGCCTTTAAGTTATCAAGCATATACCTCATTTCCAAAGCATATCCTCATGGGCCTTGTCCAAGCAGCAGGGGGCAAGGCTAATCACGTAATATAGCTAATAGCCTGAACAGCAGGAAGGTCTTTAAAGTACGATGTCCTCTCATATATTCATTGAGGTTTCTAATTTACAAATATCATTTATAGCCACTTTAGGGTAGATTCCGTTTTTGAAATCTTTCTCAGAATGAAAACTTAATTTCTTAGAAAGTAATATCAGGCAATCCAGAGCAAAACCACCAACACACACACACACACACACACACACACACACACACACACCCAGCAACAACAACAGCAAAAAATAACAGGAAATCTAAACTCCTTCCCCCCCAAATTAATGAGAAATAAAATTTAGTACCCTTTAAAAAATCCACCTTGAGTTTTAATGAAAACCACATCATAGGCAGATCGCTTAACGCAATTCTTTACAAGTCCCACACACTGACTGTGCATTAACTAACTAGGACAGTAAACGTTTTAATCAATTGCTGTGAAAGAATGAAGGCTAACACAGCGGTTATATGGGTTTGGTTGCAATAAAAAGTAATATTATTTGGCTTCATTAACTGCTAATGAAAGACATGAGAGTTTCTTAGAAAAAGGCTGGCTGCCTCTAGAACTAGAATTTTATTCATGTCTATTATTACAGTATCTTCGTAAGTGAATTGTCATAGCAAAATGAACCATTTAATTGATTTTATTTTCTATTAAAGATTTTTAATTAAGTAGCAAGACTAGCAACATGTCTTGCTTCCAAATTTTAAAAAGCTGAAATATATTAAGTCAAAGCAAGGAAATGAGTGACTTTATTTTGACGAGTCTTTGAAAGCTGTTGATGGACTATAAGTCCTGAAGGGCTTTTTTTTAAAAAGCTTTTTCTTATGTTTATCATGTAGCAAATTTCATTGTAAAGAATAATCGATGAGGAGGAGGGTCAGCATTAATTCCCTCAAGCACTTTACCTACTTGTAAACAGACTCAACTTTTTAATTTATGAGCCTTAAAATGGTGGAATATATGATCTTTCTCCTCAAATCATGTCATGTTACAGCGTAACTTAACCATTTGTCTTTCCAGTGCTAGACCACTAACCTTGAAGGTGGGGAGACTCGACAATTGGTTGTTCAGCCATTTTTCAGTTGTATCTGACTCTTCAGGACCCCATTTGGTGATTTATTGGCAAAGATACTGGAGTAGTTTGCCATTTCTTTCTCCAGCTCTTTTTACAGCTGAGGAAACTGAGGCAAACAGGGTTAAATGACTTTGAACTCATGAAGATGAATCTTCCTGACTCCTGGCTCTGTGCTCTATCCACTGTGTCACCTAGCAGTGAGTTATATGGTTTATTTTATCACTTACATACTTTTTCTTTTCTTCCTTCCTTTTTCCATTTCACAAGTTAATTAATTAGGTTAGGGAATGAAGGTATTAACACATTCACTAATTTAAAAATGAAGCACACACAAAAAGTACAGTGTTATTTCCAGAAGAGGATTGTGATTGACTCTTCTATTTCTCTTTTTTTTAGAATTTTTTTTTTGGGCTAAGCAACTTGCGCCAGGGTCATACAGCTAGTCAGTGTTACATGTGTCTGAGGCCGTATTTGAACTCAGGTCCTCCTGAATCCAGGGCCAGTACTCTATCCACTGTGCCACCTAGCTGCCCCTCTATTTCTCTTTTGTGTTTATATATCATTAAAAATTAATGAGAGAGAAGAGAAGTGCAGAGGAGGCAGCAGGGAAAGAGACAGACAGAGATAGAGACAGAGAGACAAATATGTGTATATGTGTGTGTGTATGTGTATGTGTGTGTGTAAAGAGTGAGGTTTTTTTTCTTTGTCCACAGTTGTTTGCATATTGTCTCTCCCATTAGATTGTGAGTTCTTTGAGATCAAGAACTGTGAGTTTTTTTGGCCTTCCTTTGTATACATAGTACTTAGGAGAGGCTCTTAATAATTTTTTTCCTGTTATAGACAGAGACAGAAAGAGACAGAGATAGAGACACAGAGACAGAGATACACAGAGAGACACAGAGGGAAAGAAAGGAGAGACAGAGAGAGAGAGAGAGAGAGAGAGAGAGAGAGAGAGAGAGAGAGAGAGAGAAGAGAAGGAGAGAGAGAGAGAGAAAGAGAAGGAAGGAGGGAGGGAGGAGAGGGGAGAGAGAGAGAGAGAGAGAGAGAGAGAGAGAGAGAGAGAGAGGGAGGGAGGGAGGGAGGGAGGGAGGGGCAGGCTGAGACAAATAGTGGCAGAGACAGTGAAAGCAGAGTTGAGACAATGCAGGAACCTATAGATGAGAGAAGAAAGGAGGGAGGGAAAAAGATAATATTGTCAGTAAAAGTATTTAATCTTAAAGGACAGATGAAAAAGAAAGCTAAGAGCCTTACCCCAGCCTACCAAGGTGAAGCCCCAAAGATACTTGGTATCTGAAAAGAAAGCCACAAAGATGAGGCTGTGTAGGTACAGGCCTTCCACTAGGATCCAAAAGTAGTTTGTGGCCAAGAAGTAAATAAACATCACAACAACAATCTTGCACCCCACCTGTTAAAAATAATGGAAAGCATTACTTTCTCCACGGCAGAACTCTCCGCTGAACTAAATGTCAACATGACAACATTCCAAACTTCAAACCTCAGGACTGCGTCTTCTCTTTGTGCTTTTATTGTATCACTTTACACAATAATGTAAAAACCAAATTTGCATTTTAAGCATATTTCCTCTAAGAAGTTCAAAGATAATAGTCAACAAGCATTTATTTGTTAAACTCCTACTCTGGGTTAGACACTGCGATGAACTCTGGGGATATAAAGAAACAGTCTCTGTCCTGAAAGAGTTTACATCCTAATGGTTTAGTAGTACAAATCTATTAGTAAGGAGGGAGAAGATAATTCACCTGTGAAACTAACAAACTGATGGATTAACTGAGGTATTGATTGAGCATATACCATTCTTGTTGCTAAGGTCGAGATTACTGGAATGCTCCTGAATATACTACTGCCTCAGAAGCCCAATAGCCTGAATTCATGGGGGAGTACTTTATTCTCTCTACTAACTGGGAAAAGTCATGCTCATTATTTGAACAATACACCCATTTTCTGTTAGCTAAGAATGACTAGGGATTGTTTTTTTTTCCCAATAATGAGGATGGATATAGAAACAAAGAAAGAGAAAGGGAAAGCATCTTTAGAAGAACAAAAACAAGCTATTCAAGACCAGTCACTATCAGTCCAGATGTTTCATGATTTGATGACTAACTCATAATAAAGGGAGTCTAATGACACTGAATTTTCTATATGTCATGAGAATCAGATTCCAAAATGTAATTCAATCTAAAACGTTTTTTTTTCTATTGTCATCCCAGAGATTTCTTGAATGAAAAGCTCCATCCATTTTTACACAGGAAATGTACAAGAGATGAACAAATCTAAAGAGGAAATCTAAAGGGAATGGGAGAAACAATGAAATCAATGATGGGGAAATGATGTACTAGATGTCTGTCTGTGTTCATAGGAGTACTTTCAAGCAGTCAAGATAAGCCAAGTAGCATCAGCCCAATGGATAGCATTTTTGTGTCTTCCTCTGTGTATATACGTGTGTTTAATTTTTCTTTCTGAAAGGGAATCTAATTAGTTGTGAGCAGACAATACTTACATATTGTGATTTGTCTACTGGGGGTACCATCACTGTATTTTGTGGATCACCCATCATAAACGATTCCAGCTCCTTCCTGCCCACATGATCATCGGCCACTTTATCCTTAATGAAGATACTTGCAGCCCTCAGCATGAATGAAACAAATAAGTGCATGTGGATGTAGTTCCTGGTGCAATGCAGTCTCCTGAGAACAAGAAACAGAAAAGGGACAGGTTTGGAGAGAATAACTGAGGGAAAAAGAAAGGAAAAAAGGGAACAAGAAATGCCACGAATCTAAATGAAGATGGACCTTTTGCAAATCTGTTAACCTATGATCCCAGATAGAACTGTAGGGTCATTACTAAAATGGGCATTATCTGAAATCTAATTACAAGTTTAAAATTATGTATTATCATGTCCCCCAACTGAAATATAGCAAATAAATGAAATTTCATATCATGTCCAGTGAAAACTTAGGTGGACTAAATATTATTGAATGTCTCACATTTATCCCAACAAAACTTTGTTTGGAATCAATAAATTATGTACCTTAAAAAGGAGCAAATAAGAGTTGGTCTAATTATTCTGGAATTCTATTTGGAAATATACTAAAAAATGAATCAAACGTACATATTCTTTGATCCAGAGATCCCAGTAAATGGAATGTGCCTCAAGGAGATCAAAGATAGAAAAACAGATCTCATATGTGCCAAAATATTTATAACAGCGTTTTTTGTAACAGCAAAGAACTAGAAACAAAGTAGATGCCTATTATTTAGAATGTAAACAAATAAATTGTAGTAGATGAATATAATGGAATATTAGTGAGCAATAAGAAATGATGAAAATGAAGAATATGGAGGAGCATGGCAAAAATTTATTGACCCATGCCAAGTAAACTAGACATAATCAGGAAAAATATATGCAATAATGATAATACAATATGTGGAAAGAACAAAAACAATGAATACTTCATAATGACTAAACTTGTCCCTAAAGAAGGTATATGAGAGGCATCATTCATCCCTTCTTTGCAAAGGTGGGAGACTAGGTATGTATAGCACTGCATGTACTCTTAGACTAGGTTGATGCATTGTTTTTGCCCAACACATAGTGGATACTTAACAAATACGGGTTGGCTTAAAGTGAGTTACTTTGTGTTTTGTAGAAACTTGATATTTTATGCACAAAGGAAAATTACCTGATAGAAACACATGAGGAATTTAGCATTTATTTTGTGTAAAGCAAAATGCTACATGCTAGGGATCCAAAGATAAAACAAAAAAAGAGAGCTCTGTTCTCCAGATTACATCCTGTCAACTAGTTAAGGGAGTATTAGCAGATTAATTAAGGGATTATTCTCTTAAAACAATATATTTGGGTGAAATAAAATTTTTTCAGTTCCATTATTCCAAAGTCCATGAATTTAATCATTTTAAGACTGAAATCCTTCTCTAATGCTTATCAGAGGTGACACTGGGTTCTTGACATCCATACCAGTAGATTACAGTGTCTAAGAGGTCCTTCTAAACCAAAAAGCTTCACATTTGGGCTGGCTGATGTATTAGTTATCTGCAAATCATTGCAGGGACCAGCTCTGTAACTTCAGAGAGGATCATCCCAAATTTGGCCTCAGGTGATGAACTTTTAGCCACAGTAACTCTTGAAGATCATGTACCAATTATTAGAATACCTGTGATCTTTTACTAATAGAATCAGGTATCGTTGAAGTATTACAGTAACAGACACTACATTCCTTGTGTGCTCCTATAATGTTCTTTTTTTCCTTTGTGTATGCCTGAGAAACAATTTCTGTTCATTGGTATAAATGGAAGTTTACAATGAGTTAAATGAACCTGTAAGCCACAGATACTGATTTTCACGATTCACATAGCTATCTTTAGCAAACAAATACATTGCAGTGTTGATCTGCTGACTTCTAGCCTTTATTCTGTTTTGATCCATTGTGATTTTTGAAAAATTCACCAACTTCCTTACATGATAAGAGCTTTGCCAAAATTAAATAACGGAACAATTCAAGACTGAATACATAAAATAACATGTGGGATAAATGTGTTTCAGCATAGAGTGTCCTGAGACTTTTTTGTCTTCTGTGGATAGGAAGCAAGACCACTCTTGCTGTATGGAGGAAAATGAGAAAAAGAGAATCATGACTGATCTGCTCACCGGAAATAACCAATGATGAAAATAGCTACAGCTAGGGAACTGAAGGAGACAGAATATCCAATAGTGTACATGATGTAGAGACGTTCAAAGAACTCCTGCTGGAGAAGAAACAAACAAGCTTATATCACATAATTATTTCCTACTTATTTTCCTTCTCTGTGTTAGAAAAGAAAATATATCCACAAAATATGACACATTTTCTTTGGATGTGAAATCACTAAATGTATGTTGTTAGTAACCTTTTGGCATGCTACAAACAGGTTTGAATTTTGTGCTTTAAACAATTTTAATCAACTTGTGCCTAATCTTAATCATCCCTTTCCTTCTTCACCTTTAAATCATTACTCCCTTATTTTGTTCATCCATAATTTGGAAATACTTGGACATGTTTCCAAGTACAAAGGAAGGTGACAAAATTTTTTTTAGTAACCTTTCCCCAAATTTAAAGAGAGATGTTCCTTAAAGCTTTAAAGTGCACATTGTTCTTTTTCTAAACTAATCATTTAAGGCAGGATCATTTGTGCAACAACCAATAATAGATAATACATATACCAGAATTTACTTCAGAGCATTTCAAAGCTTTAAGTCTTTGGGGAAATAATTTTCTAATATTTTCTGAGATTACATTTTCAACATTGAGACTAAAAGAAAACTTTAGAAATACAATTGAACCAATTATATTACATAACTTGGTCAGGGCTCCAAAGTACGTGTCTAACCAAATATTTTAATTCCTTTTTAAAAAAACTGAAGATACCATTATATGTTTACTACTTCTGTTACTATGCTGTTTTTGTGAGATTAACAAGAATGATTTTGCAATGGATGTGTAGTTCAATGTTACAAAAAAAATTTGAATAACAGATAAAATTCAAAATCATGGATATAGTAAGATAAAATTCTTTTGAGGCATCTTACACTAATACGAATATTTTGTTACTGTCATTACCAAAGAAATTCCAAGACTGACTAATGTTTTAAAAGGAGATCTTTGGTAATGAAATATAGGATCAAAATATTTAGAAACTTTCCGAAGAATGCATGGAATAGAATCCCTTAGTACAGTGGACAGGTGAGGTGAAGAAGACAGGTTTGGAGTATTTAAAAATTAAATATCAGTAACATAATAGTTAATATTTATACAATGCTTTAAGGTTTTCAAAGATATATATATATATATATATATATGTGTGTGTGTGTGTATATGTGTGTATGTATATCCATGTCTATCTCTATCTAATCTATCTATCTATCTATCTATCTATCTATCTATCTATCTATTATCTCATTTGATCCTCCAACAATTCCATGATGTAAGTTATTGGCATTTCATGGATATAGAAACTGAGTTTGAGGAAGTCTAAGTGACTGTGTTAAGGTCAAAATGCATCTGAGTTATGATTTGTGAAAAGATTACTGAATTAAATTGATTTCTTAATTGGAGAGATATTTAAAATCTGTACGCTATCCTTAGAAATCTCATTTAAACCTTTCATTAATTCCACTCCATTTATATGTACCTTTTATATAATAGGTATTTGTGAAATTGAATTACATCACATTTATATAAGTAAATGAAGTACTATATGAATTTTTATTAAGTATGAGAAAACAAGCTACATTACAATACATAGACTATTCTATATTACTTAAAATGAAAAATTCTGGTGACTTTGCTTATCATTCCTTTGTCATGGCCTTGGTCTAGGAGTCAAAAGCCCAGGCTTCAAGTCCCAACTCTGCCAATGACTAGCTATTTCACCACAGGAAAGTCTCTTTGTTTCTCTGGCCCCCAGTTTCCTCCCCTGCAAGCTGAGGTGGGGAAGGGTGGGAGTAGATGTTCTTAAAGGTACTGAAGAAAGTTCTAACATTCTAGACTTTCATAATTGTAACTTTTCAAAATTTGGCAATCAGAACTTTCAGGGAAGGAACTCTACCAAAGCAAATCTATTCCTGGACCACACAGCTAGTACATTTTGAAAACAGAACTTGAATCCAGGTATTCCTGCCTTTGAGGGTGACTGTTTCTCCACTATGACAAGACGCCTCTAACTTTTCAAATATTCATGAAATTCATAACCAGCCATTCTTTATAAGATTTCAAAAATCTGCTTTGTCTCTAAAATCAGTAGCAGGGCAGCCAGAGATTAAAATAATTTGGGCTTCTAAGAATGTAGGAACAGGCTATTCCTTAAGAGATAAGAAACAAGCATTGGATAATAGAGTTCAGATTTGGAAAGGGCTTTTTTAAAGACCATCTAGTTCAATCTCCTCATTTACCAATGCTGGTTTTCCATTTGGTTGTATCTAGAAGTGCCCCTAGCCTGAGGAAGAAACAAAGATGTCTCATTCTCTGTGAATGGTGCATGAAAGAGAAAATAAGCTCACACAGTATGGACAATATCAGAAAGGACCAGGATCTAGGAGAATAGCAATTTGTATATACAGTAGGCACTAAATGTCTGCTTCATTGAATAAAAGGAATCTTAGACTCTACTCTTGCTCTTACTTTGTTTTCCATATTCTCAATGAAGGAAGAAAAATGAGTTCCATATATAATTGGGTGATGTCAAAAATGTTCAAAGTGTCAATGTGCTGTCCATTTCAAAAACCCAACACCCAGATACCTTTCCTGTGGCGCTTTCTGGTTCGAAGTAGTTGAGGCATTCTGAATAATTGACCCATGTTTTATTTAAACTGTGCATAAACTCCCAGGTCCCATTGAGGTTACAGTGCCTGAATGCAACTCCTGTAAAAAAAATACAAGGAAACATGTTTAGTCTGATCATTTCCCTTCAGTTCTATCACAGGCACAAAATAACTAGCTTTTTGTCTTTGATTGACTATTTCTGGAGGAGTTCAGTACCTTTATGATTGAAGTCATAAATATAAGGAGGACATGGGACAACCTGCATTTTCCCCAGTGTGCCTCTGGGCCAGCAAATTAGTCCATCCCATTCTGGAAAACAATTTCCCTCTGGAAGAAAAGAAAGGGAGGGCAGGAGGGAAGGAAGGAAGGTGAAATCAAGTGAATGAAGAGAATGAAAACATAGGCAGTATAAACCTAGGTCTTCAGTTGGTTATTTTTTTTTTTGCAACAGCCTATAATACTATATAAAAATCCAGGGAATTGTGAGGATGGAAGGGAAATTTGGGTGTTAGGATGAGGCAGATAGCATATTAAGTAGTTGCTTAATAAGCTATTCCACAATGATCCTGTCAAGTAGGCAGAGCAAATGCTATTATATCTATGTTGTGGATAAAGAAATTGAGGCACCTGGAGGTTAAAGAATTAGCCTAGGGTTACACATTGTAAATACTCAAACTCCATTCTCTTTTCTGGAAGACTCTTGCTCTGAAATGGAGTTCTTCCTCCTTGCTTATCCCTGAGGCTACTTGACTATTTTTGTTAAAAGCACAACCATTGGGACCTTTATATTTGCATGAATGGAAAGCTGTGTTACAGAATATCTAAGATGATGTGTTTATAGTTGCAAGTGTGAACAATGCCTGAATAACTTCCCTGCTATGAGCTATTGAAATTAAAACCTGAGCAACAGGACTCACTGTTTTCAAACTCTTCCCTAGGCAAATGAGTTTCAGCTACTGGAGAGTCCAGGCATATCTAATGCTCACTAACTTCATAACCTTGAGAGCAAGTCACTTAATTCCTCTGAGCCTCATTTTTCTCAACTAAATGGGTCAGTTGGACAAGATGACCTCTAAGGTTCCTTCTAGCTCTAAACCTACCATCCTATGATCCTAATTCTTTATTTTCCCAGTGTATGAACAAAATATCAGGAAGAATGGAAGGTGGGACAGATTGATAATCACACCTAGGACTTAAAATCTAGGTTTAACTTCTTGCTTTTCATTTCAACAATTCCATGAAGTCCAACATTTCATTTCAAAGAGATGAAATCTCTTATCTGAGCCCAGGGTCCTTGCTGATAATTTGGGCTAATTTCCAACAGGCTTTAACCTTCTGTTTAAATCTCTCAAATAAGAAATTTAGACATTTTGCACCCACAACTTCTCCCAAATAATAACTCAATAACCTGCTTGACTATACTGTCTAATTTTCATTCTGTGGCACAAATTCTATTTCACTAATAATGGAATTCTTTCAATTAATTTAAAATAAAGAAGGAGACTATAGTTCTGCTTAGGGTAGTCAACACACTGGAGGTTTCCTATAACATTGTTCACTGGAAAGTGCAACGAAGAAGTCGTGTCTGCTTGGAAAGCAAAGTGAAGGGACCATTGTGTTTGCCTTCTAACTTGATGGGGAGGGAGCATGAAGAGAAATTCTAAAATGACAACTTCAATTTCATCTAAGAAACATCTTTCCTTTTATCTGCTTCTGAGGAAATATGTCCTTGATACCTGTCATATCATTGGTATAGTTCATTCCTCCATCTGCCTTGATTTCTGGGACAATAACTTAAGAAAATGGTTTGGTTTTATTTCTGGGAATATATTCACAGTACCTTCCCCCAAGAAAATAAAATTTTCTTGAAGAAAGCTTCATTTTTAGCCCATTAAGAATTAAAAGTTGTGACATTGTATGTCACAAACTAAAATATGTGTTTCTTTCACAGACCTTTACACCTTGGTTCCTGCATCTTTCTCTGTGCTCAAGCCCACCTACATCTCTTTCCACTGGCACAGCTGTCTAAACTGCTCTCATTGTTTCCACCCACTCTGGATTTACTGCCTTCTTTCAAAATATTACTTATGATGTAACATCCTCCATCCTCATTTTTTTCCTATACAAAATATTATATCTTTTCTTCTTCATTATTTGTAACTAACTTATTTCATAATGCCCATGCTGTTATTTAACATCTTTTCTACCACATCTATATACATTATACCTGCAATGATAATGATAATAATAGTAGTAGTAGTAGAATTTATATAGTAGTAGAATTTTAAGGTTTGCAAAGCACTTAACATTTGTTTCAATAGATCCTCTCAACAACCCTGTGAGGTAGGTGACATTATTATCTCCCTTTCACAGATGAGAAACCTGAGGTAGAGAGGGGTTAAGTAACTTGACCAAAGTCATCCAGATAATAGGTGCCTTAGGCTTGATTTGAACTCAGGTCTTTCTAACTCTAAGTCTAGCCTTCTATCCATGGTACCATCTAATTTCCTTCCATCTACTATTTTCCCCACTAAAAATGCATGACTCAGTCATATGACATTTTCTGGTGGGGGCATTTTACATGATTATTAGTTGTCTATGAGTTCTTAAAGGTACTATCCTTCAAATAAATATCAAATCAAATTATTGGTTTATTTATTAATTACATGGTTATTACAATTAATGGTTCATTTTTAATGATACTTAACATATTCAAAAGGGCTTGACTGTAATTTTCCCCCTAGAAATGTCTATTTCTAAAAAATTACTCCTCTCAAACAAAAGAATTCGCAGACAAGCTTACTTAATTATACAACATTTTAATGTTGATGCTTTGATAAAGAAGATCAGATATTTCCATAACTAATGCTGCTGCCTCTCAGAGAATTTCTAGAAGATGATCAAATGAGTATAAATTTTAATTAGTGTATTTTTCTGTCATCATCATTTCATATATAGTAAGAGTAAACTGTATTTCATTACTTGGCAAAAGGGAAAAATGGATTGCTTCCTTCTTAAAATTAATTGCATAATGACTCACCGATGTCCCTTCCTAAATTTACACCATTAATTATCACACCCAAATCTTTGTATATACCAGCACAAAAACTAATTATTAGTAGAAGGTTTTAAGCTGTGGCATTAAAAAATATTCTAAGACCTTGGGAGTGGAACATCCAGTTTTCCTATGCTTCTGTCTTTTATTCCCTTAAGATAAGTTAAAAGTGCCCTTGTAAGTTGTACTATTTTTTGCTGGTACCAATATAATTGCTAGTGATCATAGTATGTAATATAAATAGCAGAGAACAGAAAGCAGTGACTTTGGAGTCAGAGACTGTGGGTTCAAATCCTAGCTCTCTCACTTATTATTGATACGACTGTGGGCAAGTGACTTAACTTTTTCTGTAGAATGAAGGAGTTAGACTAGATAAGCTTTTTTCCAGCTCTAAATCTATGATCCAAATTAAAGTTATTTTACAATCCTTGAAATGTCCATTCAGTTTCCTTGGCTTGAGATTTTGTTTCTATTTTCCTTTTTAATTCTTGAGACAAATTAGAAATGAAATGTTTTTCAGTCCCCTTGTGCTTTCATTTTACTCATTCGAATTTTCATTCTATTTTCTTCTCAATTTCCGTCTGTTATTGCAAAAGCAATCAAATAAGGAAAACTTTATTACTCACTGTGAGATAACCTGATCACAAAGTTGTAACATATTATAGTTAAAAGAAATCTCAGAATTCATCTAGCCAAACTCTTTAATTTTGTTTTCTTTTCTATTATGAATTTAATAAATAATAAATGAAATGAGCCTTTTCATACACAAATTAGAACAGAAAAAGATCTTAAACTGTGAATCTGTAGTACATATAGCTTGCTTTTTTCATGAATTATATAATAAATTCAATATGTAATTTTTAAAGTTATCCTACTTAACAGACCTTCCTTCTGTTCTGAGCATTAAGCCCCCCACCAAAAAAAAAACTTCAGTGACCCTCTTTTCTTCATTTTTTTTTGGGGGGAAAGAGGACAACCCTATTACCATCTCTCCAATTTTTTTTCTCACTTCTCCCTCCCAAAATTGGGAAAAAAATAAAGGAAATCCTTTTACAAACTATATAGACATAAAGTAAAGCAAATTCTCATTTTGGTCTTGTGAGAAAATGTATATCACCTTCAACACCATGAGTCCATCACTTCTCTGTCAGGAGGATGGGAGAAAGCTTCTTTATCAGTCATCTGATTATCAAATGAAATAATATTTGCAAGATTCTTAGCACAGTGACTGGCACGTAGTAGGCACTTAGTAAATGCTCCCTTCTCTCCTCTCCCCCACTGCACTCCCCCTTCCCCTCTCCTTCACTCCCCTCTAATTCCTTTCCCTGTTCTTATTTTTTCAAAGTTATTTTTCTTTAAAAGGTTGACGTGGAATAAATTGTTCTACCAGTCCTTCGCACTTCACTCTGTATCACTTCATAGAGTATTACAAGCTTTGTCTGAACTATTCCCTTTCATCATTTCTTATAGGCCAATAAAATTAAATTATATTTAGTACCAAAACTTGTTCAGTCATTCTTCACATGGCAGAGACTCACTGAACTTTTATTCTCTGCTACAACAAATACAGAGATAGTAATACATACATAGATACATATGTATCTTTGATTTCTTTGTTTTATAGATATAGCAGTGGTACTACCGGTTCAAAGTCACAATTTTAGTAACTCTTTGGATATAGTTCCAAGCTGCTTTCCAGAGCAGAAATTCATATCTACACTAATTCATACCCTTACCAATAGTCCATTAGTATGCTTACTTTTCATAACTCCTTGTTGTCACTTTCTTTTTTTTTGTCACGTTTGCCAATCTGAGGAGTGTGAAGCTTCAGTTTTTAAATGTGCATTTCTTGATTATTAGCGATTGAAAGCATTTTTTTATGCTTGTTGATAGTTTGAATTTTTTTTCCTTTGAAAATTGTTTATATTTTCTGACCATTTGATAAACAGGGAATAACTCTTTCTCTTCTAGATTTGAAGTAGTTTCTTTTATACCTTAAAGATGAGATACTTATG